ACTAGCTGTGATTTTTCGGTTTGTGAAAGATGGTAAACCTACCGAGAGATTTCACAGCTTTGTACCAATCGTTGATCGCACGGCTAGCGGGATATCGGCTGTACTGAAAGAAGTGTTACAGCCTTACAACGCGAAGTCAAAATTGATAGCTCAAACTTATGACGGCGCGGCAGTCATGAGTGGGTCGAAACATGGTGTTCAAGTTTATATAAAAGAAGATTTTCCTCATGCGCATTTTTTACATTGTTATGCACACCAATTTAACCTCGTTATTAAAAATATGTGTCTTGATACCCCTCTCGTCCGTATATTTTTTGCAAATGTTTCGGGGTTTTCTTTATTTTTTTCCCGTTTCGCCGAAGCGCTCTGACCTCCTTCGCCAGATATGTAGCCGCCGTCTCCCAGCTTGTGCACCAACACGTTGGAACTTCCAATCACGCGTGGTGCAGGGCGTGTCCGAAATTAGGTCTGAGCTCATTGAGTGTTTCAATGGCATTCAGAGCTCTCCGGTTTGGGACGAACGCTCTGTGAGGGAGGCGGCAGGTCTGAAGCCTCCGCTAGAAGATGGTGAGTTTTCATTTTTTCTCGGTTTTTTCTCCACAATATTCTATCACGTGGATGTATTATACGGCGCATTGCAGTCAAGGCTAATGGATGGAGCGTCTGTGCAGTCGTGTATTTCAGACTTCTGCGATGCTGTATCTCGTATCCGGGAAACAATAAAATACGACGACACATGGAGTGCTTCTTTACGCCGCGGGCAAACAACGCAGCGTTTGATTTTGTCTGCAAAGGAATGCTGTGACATTCTGGTGAATCAAATAGGCGATCGTCTGCGCACTGAACACTTTGCCGCGTTCTCTTTGATGAACCCCAAAAATTTTTCAAAATTGGCACGTCTATTTCCCATTCATTGCTTGGCTACTGTCTTCAAATTTTACCCCATGATAAACGTGGGTAAATTGAAAAATGAATTGCGATGTATATACACCAATCAAAATTTTTTGAACATCACATCAACTTGCGCGCTCTATGGGTTCCTCATAGATAACACTCTAGTAACTACCTTTGCGGCGTCTGCAAAATTTCTGGACATCATTTTGACGACGCCTATTTCTTCCGCCGACGCAGAGCGAACATTCAGCACGCTGAAGCGTATTAAAACGTATCTCAGAAACACAATGAAGCAAGATAGATTAAATACCTTGGCTGTTTTATCCATTCACAGAGACGTTATTTCTGGGATGCATGACTTTAATCAGCGCGTTATTGAGCATTTTGCTTCCAAGAAACCGCGGCGTGTTGCATATATGTTCAAGCAGTAGAAGTCTAGCAGCATATATATCTATGAGTGAGCGACGCATGTCCTTATCTTTTCATTACCTTTCATTTCTTCATAGTAACGTTTTAAACCTTATTTTAGGTTTTGTCTGCTTTCCCGAAGTTTCTGTTAATATGTCATTGTATTTATCTGGGTAAATATTGCCTTTCCTTTTGAAAGAGGTTTCAAAATAAACTATGTCTATATTTATTAATCCCTTGACTTGGACAGGTTTTAAAGACACTTTCTTATCGTTAAAAATTGTCGCTTTTGCCGATTAGTTGTTACCGATGGAATGGTTTTTATACTCATAAAATGATGGGAGAACTTACAGCGCTCATCCTGTCCCCGTAGATGGGGGTGACTTGGTCCCGCAGTAGCTTGCCCCGGTTGTCAAAATGACCACGCGCCGCCACTGAATAAAGATAATGTTTATTGGTATAATATACAGTTAACGCTTAATAATATAATTTGTCGATTTGATTTGTGACTATATTATTACGGGATTCATATTTTACTAGTTTTAAATACGAATTTATGTCAAGAAAATTTTGATGATATAACATATATATCAAACCTAGGTCCTGCATCCAAAGCATAACGTCATTCAAATTGTATTTCACAGTCTGTCTTCTTTCCATGCGCTGTCGTTTGAAGATATAGATGTTTAAAATAAATTTCAATGACATTTAGAACTATCACAGGCTTCTTTTGTGCGTAATTCTTAACGATTGAAGTAGGGTGTGGCTTCATGCGTGAATGAAATTTTGACTTGAGAAGCACTCGACATCAACATTGAAGAATACTTATCGCTTCATTCAAGGTAGTATGTTGCCGAAAGATAATAAAACGATGCCAAAAGTTAGATTTAGTAAGATAACGAGAAACTTTGAAAGTGACAAAAAGAAAATCTTTGAAATTAAATCATACAAATTTGTTCAAAAGCTGCTCGAAAATGAACTAAAGAGTAGTAATTTTGAAACCTATAGGAGAAATAGTTCAAATATTTGTAGGTTATGTGCACAGCAGGAATCTTCTTCTCAAATACCTGGGCAGATAATTCAGTAGTTATCGTTCAACATAATTCCATCATAAAACCTTTTCTATGATCAGCGTAATGCCTATAGTACTGGTCGGAATGAGCGCAAAGTTGAAGTCGTTAAAGCCAGCAAACATCTCGTAAAGAATAGAGCGTATTACAGCGAAAGATTTGGACTTAGACGACCCCATCAACCATAAGTAAAAATAGAGAAAGTCAATGAATGGCAGAGGTTATTGCGACCAGATAGTTATGCGGCCGTAAAATTTATAGAGCTGTGTGGGTATTGCATTGCTTTCTACATATAAAATATCTGCGTATTTATGTAAATCCAAGTATATATATATATATATATCATATCAGACGATCACCTGTCAAGGGCGGAACATTTATGACTAATGCGTGTTGAAGTAAAAGAATGATGTTGGCGAAAGATTGCATATTTATAGAAATTATTCCACCTACCGCATTTTGTGATTTCATCAACGTTATACCGTTAACAGACAGCTTATTAATCAAACCCGAAGGTTTATTTTGACGTATGTTGTTACATCGTATATACGGATGAATTACTCTCAAACATTGGATGATTCATGTCTTCACAATCTGCCTTTGTGTGATAATTCGATGTCACGCCTACTATATGGACTAAATGTCTGATAATAACGTTTGGTTGTATTCTGGGTGGAAGCTCTGCTGCTTTTATTTTGTGTGATATATCAGCAACTTAGCCATACTTATCGGCCATTACAGTACAGACGATTTTGACGACAGATTATTAAACAAACAAGTTCGCCTTTTAATAATTGGACGCTCTCATCTTTAATATGGCTTCCCTATGACACAAGTACTTTAGCTTTAGTTCTTGATCGTACTTGACTTCTATAATGAGTCATTGTAAGTTGGAGTTCAACATTTCATTTAGATATATACCTTCGTAATTCAGGCAGAAGATAAAAGCTCTCATTGCAGGCAGTATCTCTAAATTTGGGAAGATGGGAGTAAGATTTATCTTTTTGGTAGCACAGTATAGTAAAGCCTCTCGAACCGTTTTTGAAATCCATATATACAGATATGTACTCGAGTACCAGCGTCAAAGCGTAACGTAAATTCCTAGCCGGCTATTGTTATCTATTCTATCGGCTAATAAATCCTTAGGAATGTAGAAATTGAATCGGGCGATATTAGAAGCCAGTATAATAAATATTCGAGCTATCTTATTCGACTGATAGCAGTAGATTGAAAGTCGTAATATGTATTGGTCTATGAAATGTTTCTCCAATGAGTTCAATCACGTATTTTAGAATGACGTATGCAATCTATTCAGTCGTCGTCTTTGTATTCAATTCAACACATTTTGAAAGATAAGTATCAATTTTAAAAACGAACAAAGACAACCAAAACAGTCAGGTTTTGTTAAATTTGTTACAATACGCCGACTGTAAATACCTTTATTAGGTCGACCAGATAAAAGGGACATTTGTACGCCCACGTTGGGCGGACAAGGCTTGAGTTTATAGATTTAAAATATTTGCGACAAGCTATAAGTTTGTTTTGAACGGTGTTGGACTTCAGAATAAGTTATTAGTTTGAGCGCTTCCCATGTAGTACTATTCATACCCAAATATTAATAAGGTAATTACAGTAAACTCCTCTTGATTTTAACTAGTTTTGTTCAACGTCTTTTAGCGTTAGTTCCGGGGTTGACATTATGAAAATTCCAACGAGATTACAATATTCTTTACGGGTTATGAACGCATCGTTGAAAAACCATCCATTAAGCGCTTAACGAAGTTCCTGAAACGACATTTTATATAAGTCCTTTTTGTAACACCGCGTTTGTTTGCAAAACGGTATAGGGCGTGCGTGGGTGACAGTATACATACGAAGTTTCTCGGAGAACTATACGTTATGGTCGAAGATATGTAGACTTATTGACACACCAAGCGACAATGGTTTCCGATTTTTGCGTCAGTCGATTTAATAAGAAAGTTTATCCGGTTAAGTGTGAGTTGAGATGGGCAAGTGCACTAAAGACCTATATGCGTGAAGTGGTGAAATATTTCATCTATGTAAATTGTATGAATATATATAAATATCTTTTTTACGGTTGATTAACAATGGTATTAGACACGCTTATTGAATCAGATTGAACCCCCGGAAAGCTTGGCAACCGGGACTAAGTCATGTTTGCTTTGAATAATTGAGAGAAATTGTAGAAGTGACTTTCATGAATTCAGTTATAGTTAAAATAGTGACAGTTGTGTGTCCTGTCCTACTTTGGTACCATTGTGAACAATTGAATAACCAGGAATCAATTCATTTTTGATAACAAATACTCATTCTAGCAGCAACGAGTCGAAGCCATAGGGGCACTTTTCAGATATATGATGGGATCAAATCACGCCTAAATAGGGTAGAAACAATTTTCTGTTTGGGAAACTGTTCCGAAATAGTTTACTTTGCCTTCAATCATGTAATCTTAAATAAAGCCAAAACCAGTAATACCCCAAGCATCAGTTATCAGTCAAACACCTTAAGTCAGTAATATAGCCATGAACCAGGAAATCACTATTAAAGCAATACTTACTACCTAAAAAATTGTAAATAAGTCACTAGCCACAGTTTATGTGAGTCTATCTTCAATTGTATTTCATCAGCTAAAAGTGTAAATAATATATTATAATTTTGATGATGGATTGACAAATAATTGACATGAAATCGGTCATCTTTTTATCGTTTGTGGTTATATGTGGACTTGTGAATGCTCAATCTTTATTAGTGAAGACTGAATATCAAGATGTATGTTCAAAACAAGACTCGGGTGAGTTATATAGTCTACTACATTATACATATTATAATATATTTTACAACATAATTTCACTGTAAATATCTTTAAAAAAGCGCAATTACTAACAGTTACACACCAAATATATATATACACTCATAAATATTTTTCCATATTCAAATGTGCTTATTTATTACCATTTGAACATTTACAGTCGCTAAACAAGTTAGCCAGAAAAAATGCGTGAAAATTCCTTTAAAAATTTCACATGCAAATTTCACACAATTTTTTATTTTCGAAGGCACGTATAACATCGTGTTCGAATTACATATTTTGAAGATGGTAGAAAGTTTGCTTTCTTCCCAAGATTGTCTGTTGTGCTTTGTTTTAACGGCAATCAGACGTGAGCAATTTATGGGTGTAATTTGTGACTATGTTAGCACAATTGCCAGCCACAATTATATCGATTATTCAGTTTATGGGTTAGGTTTGTATTGTTACGGTATGAAATCAAGCGTTTACATTTGAAATGCGTCAACAGGTTTTTTGCCGCTGGCAAACGATATGTGATAAGGGTAAATGACGTATCTGATAACATTATGTATTGCGCAGATTCACTTCAAAGTCGAGTATCAAGATCGGATGTGGTTTTGACAGCCACAATAGTTCGAACTGAAACCGAAAATCCGGGTTCGGAAAAACCGACTGACATTAATACAGAACCTGATCCAATGAAATATTCTGATGAAAGGCTTAGCAGCAGAACGGTGGCTTACGTAAAATTGTGGAGAGTTGTTAAAGGTTCCCTTGCAGAAGTTTCAAATCATACATCGGGCCCACAAGGTAAGATGACATCCGGTTCATTTTCATCTGATACAGATTCTATGACAAAAATGATAGATTTCGACATTTTATCAACTATGAGCAATTTTGAAAAGTAAGCTAAAATATATATACCTTCAATGACCTTTCACTTTTTTTTTACATTAGTCAGTTGTAGATTTATCTTGAGAAAATACATTTATATACTTTAAAGTTTAAAACATAGTTACTTTTTCGTTTTGAAAAAAAAATTTTCTGAAATATTTTCTTTCACATCTCAAATTTGATCATTCAATTATTCAATACTTTTGCATCAACAGATCTCTTATCAGATGAAATCAACCTTTCACACAGTGGGATTGAGAGTCCTATTTTAAAATTATATGGTCTCTGGAATGACAAACTCTGTGGATCGCATCTTTCAACTGGAGATACTCGAGTATTTTTTCTGAAAAAATTTCGAGACGTGAGGGAATTAAATGATGAAGATAATTATGAACCGCCGGCGGACGATCCTTTGAAAGTTGAGTCTATGACGCTACCTGGTAAACTTCAGAACACGTCTTCAGACACGATGGAAGATTCTACAACGGAATCTGAAACGACACCATCAAAACCTAAAAAGAAAAGGAAAAAAGGAAAGGGACCAAAAAAGAACAAAAAGGGCCGCAAAGGAAAAAAGAAAAAGAAAAACAAGGCAACGACAAAAAGTGGCAAAAAGTCACGAAAATCAAAATCGAAACGAAAAAAAAGAAATAAAAGAAAGTCGGACTCTGTGCGAGGGGAGCTGGAAAAAATGTTTAAAAGACCAAAACGAAGCGCAGTAATGCCAAACAAAGTCACACGATTGTCTGAAAGAGAGGTCAAAGTTCGTAGACAAATCGATATTGATCCAAGATCGGTGTTGGTCCTGCACTCATCACCGGCTCGAATAACATTGGCGAATCTGAACAGTGTAGAAGATCTTTCAAAATTGTAATCTTCTCTAATCTTCGGCAGCTGGTCTGCACGATTGAGAAATATTTCGAATCAATTAAACTTCTCGTGAATAAATAAACCGATATTGTTGCTACCAAAATATGGATGATTTCGCATATTGATGTTTGAAAATGTCCAGCATTTTGTCGAAAAAGTATTTTCCTAAAAGTATTTAGGGCATAAGACATGTTAACCCTTTCCATGCTATTTTTATTTTTTATTAAATAATCGTATTTGCTACGCCGACTTTATGCATTTGTACCCCCACAACTAATCGATCGACTAACGAAAAAGTAATGATCCTCTGCTGCCCACTGACGGCTCGTTGGAAAGCTTATTTAAATAGCTTGCAATTGGCAATTAAAAAAATTTTTTTTTTTAAAAGGGGTGGTCTGAGTCACAAACCGGATAGAAAAAAGGCATTTTTTTTTCTTGGGTGTTGAAACTTCAAACCGTGATAAAAAATAGAAATATTCGCTAAATCCTTTACTGTTACCGCTTCTTGGTTGGCAAACAATAGCATAATATTGCTGTAGCAATTTCGTTATCTAACTCAAAATACCTTGGTAGATGGAAGGGATAATATGTCTTCTATTACCACCCAAAAAACACCGAAATTTGCATAAATTTTAAAAACACTCCTTCGTTCCGCCGCAAATAAAATTCCCATGGTAAACGAAAGCGAGATTTACCGTCGCTTATGTTAATCTCGAAGAAGACTTCTTATCAATAAACTAAAACCCGGAAAAACTAGACCAACAGTTTGCGACCGATTGCTAAATAAAACAGTGGAGTACATCAACGTACCCGCCGCAATCTAGCGAGTTTTGTCGTGGGTACGTATACGTGCCCACCGCACGGAAAGGGTTAATGATGCCATATTATCTAAGTAATACCTAAGTAATACACATCAAATATTTATCATCATCTACACATAAAGCTGTCTGAAAAATCAAACACGGTTTTTATCAAATAAAAAAGTAATCAAAGATATCTTCAGCTGCCAGGGATGTTTTTTATTCACATATCTTATCATTTTGTTTTCTACATACTTTTGAAACATCTGTCCTAATTTCCGTTTCTATGCTGATCGCTTCAGAATGATTAATACTGACGTTAGCAATGTAATAGCAGAACGTGATTGTTTCAAAACATAAGTGTTTCGGGTATTTGTTTATAAGCAAAATAAACTGAATGTGATGCTGGCATATTAGTTTCTCCGTCGTGTATTTCTTTCAATAATCTTCTTTCATCTTTTTATTATAATCATTTTGGGTGTGTTTTTGTGTGTTCGAATTGCAGGCATTATTATGTTGCGAGAATTACATGGATGAACTGTTATAGAGGTTGAATACACGCGTAAAAACATGTTTTATTGGACACGAAATGTACATATGGATTGTTTTGTTATTATGTTGTTGTTATTGATTGTCTTGTTGTTATAATTATTTCTTCTCTTCCTATTGCTGTGGTGAAAATTGAAAAAATCGCTCTTCTCATTAACTACTGGACAAACTGCTTTGAAATTCAGTGATTAGATTGTATTTTTTCACTGGAAGGCTATTACTTTTATTTTTTATAAAAAAAATTTGTGGCGTCATTTTTGGTTTGCTATGACGTCATAAAAATTAAAATTTGCTCCCCCTTGTAGCAAATCCGCCTTCGCGTTAGTTCTGTTGGTCAGGCGAAGTCGTGAAAATTGCGGCAACGGCTGTCTACTGTGACCGGTTGCATACCCGTGATAATTCATTTTGGCTTTCGTGTCCATATATTTGAGCATCGCTTTCTTTTTCTTACAATAGTCATAGAAATGCAGACTGATTAAGAGAGGTGGCTGAAGCCTTTTCCATTGAAATGGGTTTACAACTTGGGGTACTCATGCGTGACCTCATATACATATAATGATGGCATGTTGACTATTACTACAGTCAACGAAAAATCTATATTTCAATAGTCACCTCCTGTGTCACCTTTGCATGGGTCAAAGTGAACTTGAATCGGTATTTTACAATTAAAATATTGTTCTCGCCAATAGTTCTATTCCTTCCCGTTAAGAAAAATTATTGTTGAATTTATTTTAAAACATTGACATACAAACAATCACTTTCATACAAAATATTGGCGATTGGCACTGTCGATATAAGATCAGGCTTGCTGAACTGGGAAAGATTTATAATCGATTGTAATACCAGACTCCGTGTTGGAATAAAACTTTGCTCCGGATTTTGACTCCGATCTCGTGTTGTAGTAAATAATTTTGACTACAAAAACAGCTCCAAAAAATCTAATTTTAACAATAAAAACTTGGCGGATGCTCTGTTTTAATAATTATTCAGAACGCTCAGCAAACTCAATGATTTATCTTGAGTTTTCGTGCAAAATTTCAAGTTCTTTTATCTTCAATGAAAATTGCAATTTCTACTTCGATTCCTGTGAATTCACGATTTTTACTCTCGACTCGGTGGAGTACGATTTCGGCTCCGACTATACTAAAAACGATCTCAAAACCCGAGTCAACAGTCCCTTTATGAATTGAAAACTGCTAAAACGCTATGGAAACCGTCGCAAGTTGGCGCACCGAGATAAACAACATCCTTAAAGATTAATCAGGTAATTTCCCAGTCTGGGTCAACTCATATATTAAAATACTTTACATGTATATTATCATTTGCGTCATGAATGGCAAAACCAAATACGTCATAATCGTTTAAATATGACCATATCGCCTTTGCTATTCTGGATTTGTAATTTTATTCAGCTCTGAATTGAAATTGTGGGGATTCAAAGACGGAAGTTGAATGGGAATATTTCAACCCTCACCACTGATGTATGGATGTATAGAGATACAAGTACGAAGACGCCAACATAGAAGAATAAAACCTGAAATAATTTATATCTAATTTTTTGAAGAATGCTCCTTTGCAACTACGATCATTTTTTTTTGCCAAATAAGAGACAATTACTGAGTTTCGTTATTGAAACTATCTGATTCTTTTGTCTATATGTTGAAGCATAATATCAATGGATAATTTCTCTTTCAAGTGCGGAGAGGAGATAAAACACGACATCCTACCCGCTTTCAATGTAATTAAATTAATTAGTTTCTTATTTAGTCGTAAAACAACATAGACGCCTATATTTCGCCTCTGGCTATAGTAAACGCTTTGGGCGTACTATCTACACCTGATACACGAGAGAATTATAGCACGAAGATAAAGTAGTAACAGACTCAACGAATTCCGTCAGGCTCAATCTTTTGCCTCGGGAAATTGTGTAGCAAAGTTGTAACGCAGGCTGAGAGTGCTTTCTGACATATTGTCTTATGAGTATGAATCGCAGATCTTCAAATTAGAATTTCCAGAACTTACAGATGTTGACAATTGTATTATTTGTTTAAAACTCTCTATATAATATTGAGAAATAGCGCATATACTATAAATTAAGACAAAGAAAGTATAAAAATTCGACATGATTAAAAAAATTACGTAATGCAAAAATTGAGACATAATAACATATAGATGCAAAGGTTCGTGCATAAAGTGTTGGACTTTATCTCTAATATCAAAATTCAATGCTTGTAATAAATCAAATGTGAATGCTTCATTTTGTTACTAATCCGCTTCGAATCAGCTGAGAGACAATGTTGAGAAACCAGTATTCTAACTCATCACAGACACGTGATCATTGAGATAATGATACTCTGTAGTTTGATGTTCTCAAAGATTACTGCTGTTGTTACTCAGGCCGGTGCAAAATTGAGTTTAGTATATGTATAACTCACAATTTTGTATTTGGAGAGTGGAAAAATGCCAATCGATAAGTTTTAGTTTGTTTTCTGTGAAATGAATAAAGTAACGAAGGGAAAAAGATTATATTTCTGCAACCAGATTCTCAAAAAATAAACCAGAGCTGAGTTTCACTAACAACAATGAAAAAAGTACAGAAATATTAAAACTACCGTACCAAAATATAATTGATATAATTCAAGTAAGCATACACTTTTTTGGATAACTACAATTACTAATTTTCACACGTTTTACAGGACTTTTCAGGGTATTCGAATTATTAAATTTTCGCAAAAATGGCTCCCAATCCAAAAAGAGTTAATATAGGATTATTATTAAGCATGCTAACAATTTTTATTGCGGCAACAGTGGAACTCGTGTTTTGTCAAAACGTTGTTACAAATGATGGACTTGTATCAGAAAAATACGAAGCAAGACGAATGTATACAATCACGTTGTCAATTGATCCTTCGATTATACAAGTAAGTGTATTGTTACTTCGGAAATTTCCCTGATAGTTTTTCTACGAAAAATTGCGAGAGTAAAGTAAACACACTTGAAATTTAGTAAACAATGAAACTAATTAAAAATATAAGTTTTTGCTAACAATCGCTGAAGCGATGTGACATGGGTAATACGGAAGAAACATCTGTGAGGCTATATGTCAAGAAAAAGTGAAAAAATTCAATGGTACATTGATACTTCGAATAGGTTTCTAAGGCATGTATTGTTTTCACTTAAAAAAAAAAACACAATGAACAATTCTATTACTACGGTTATATGTCTACAATATTGAAACATTTTGCAATAGGTATTTTCCTTTTCCCATTTGTTGTTTTGGAGAAAGAAGATCTTTGTTATCATTGATTGATTTTATATACACAGATTATTGCTGATCCAAGATTCAGCAGTGAATACTACCCAATGTACGAAATGGTCTATATGTCAAAAAAACCAAGGAGTGAAATCAGGAGAATATCTGAACTGATGAACAAACTCACAGTACCAGAGGTAAATACATCCAGTGTTTCAAATTACTAATGTCTCCACCATAAAAGACAGAGATACAAAAATACTGAATAGTGGGAATTATAGTTTGAACCAAATTCGGTGGAAATCGTAGCGATCAGAATTTAAATTTTGACTTGGAAAAAATATGAAAAAGTTACAACAAAATATCCTTGAAAGAATATTTTTTTACTCAAGTTTTAAGAACTAATATGTTGTGAGCTAATCACAACTAATTTCAAGCGCGGAGGAAACAAATGTCAAAGTTACAATAATGTAATTGAATCAATTTTAAGATTTGAAGCATTTCATTTTTAAAACGTGTATGTAAATTTACGATTTCAGATCTGGCAATCGCAGACAGATATTGTAGCTGATCAAACAACGGTTGCAAATCCAAATAAGGTGGGAATACTCCCAGAAGGAACTGTAGAAAAGCAACCAGCTTATGTCTGGTGGGTTGCATCAGGATTTTACGAAGCAAAATCAGCATTTTCTTCTAATGTTGGAGGAATTTTTCTAATCAACTTGGCAACTGACAAATGGAGTAAGTTAATTGTGTATTGAAAATTTTGGAGCACAGTTCTTGTAAGTTGAAAATGACCAGAATTGTAGATTTACAGTAAACATATACATTGTAAAAGTTTTACGTCATGTGCTCTCGGATCGGAGAAATCTATTTTACGATTAGGCCTTTAACTCCCAAGTTGTATTCATTTTCGGAGAAAAAGCGCACGGCGCAATCTTATAAAAAGGCTGCAACAAAATATCCGAATTATGACAATATTCATAATATAATACTGCTAAATTATAACCCTATCAGTTTGCATGATAAAACTATTTGCTTCCTGATAAAATGTCCGTTTCATAGTTTTATTGGAGCTGAAAGCTATCAACTTATTAAAAGCCGTAACAACTTTTTGAAGGAATAATTTGACTCTTCGTATACTTAGACATGAAACCTCAGTTTTAGATATCATGTGTTTACTTTGCCATCGGCAATCTTGCGGAGAATCTTCATAAGCCTTTATTCGAATATTTTGGTGTACTTGTTGGGCTTGACAAATGGTTAGTATAATATGCAGTACGGAGCAGAGATACTGAAATCATTTAAATAAACTTGATGCTGTCCCAAGAGATTTGTCAGACGTGCTTTACACGGACAATTCATTTTTTATATTAATCATTAAACTTTATTTTCAGGACCAATTCCTATTGTAAACAGAACAGGAAAGGGATTTTCTCACACAGAATGGATTGACATGGATATTGATGGATATGTTGATTGTGTTACTATCGAAGGAAGTAATAGCAGTAAGTACTAGTAGATGATACAATTACATTCTATTTTCGTATGAAGAGATGAAACAAGCATTGGCTAGTGAAACATATTTGTTTTCCAACTCGGTAGTATTTTTTTGACTTGTGCCCAAAACTTCTTTCATCTTTTCGTGGCCATCAGTTTAGGTACTATATATTTAGGAGTGATCTTTAATCAAAGAGACTATATATAGATTTTAATAATATTAAATATATCTAATTTTTTTTTTCAGTGAACTCGCTGATTTGGTTGCAGCAACCAGCAAGTCAGTCACGATGGACTCAACACCGCATCAGTGGGCTCCAGGAAGATGTCGGTGGTACCGAATTCCGAGTAATGAAATTGCCTAGTTCAGAAACAGGAACGGTCACAAACGTATTCATCGTAGCTGGTCGTACTACTGGAAAATTGACGGCATATTGGGTCGAAGGTATTCACTTGGAAACATTTTAAAAATTATCTTATTTGAAAGCACACCAAGCAGAGGTTACACCAAAAATGCAAGCGGTTGTCAACATCAAATATCTACAACTAATTTTATGGATGGTTAATGCATACAACAAGGCTATCAAGCACGTACTACTACTTTCATATAGAATGTGCAATAAATAAAGGCGTGCAAAACTACTGATTATAGAACAAAATTTGTTATTTCCTTATTTACATTGAAGTAAGCTACATTATATAGTTTCGAACATGAAAAATAATTGATCTGCAACACCCAATCATAACAAATTTGCCATACTTAGAAAATACACAGTAATACCATAAACATGATATATATTTATAAATTTGTTAGATATGAACAATGACTGGTCTCGAGAAAAAAAGAAAAAATCTATTGTCATCGCCACAGACGGTTCGTATGTTGGAATTGAAATTGTGGATTTGAATATGGACGGAAGACCAGAAATTTTAACCTCTACTTCAGCGACTGCAGGAAAAAGAGGTATTTTTCATTCATTTCGTGATTTCATGTAGTAATAGTTGAATATTATAACATTTTCTACAAATCTGTATCATTGATGAGCAACTTGAAATCGACTGTTGGACAAATACCATCGTCAAATAAATCCTAAGACAGAATTGAAGAAGTTTTAAACTGATATATTTTCTTTCAAGGTATGGTGTTAGCGTATGAATATCCAAGAGATGGATTTGACAAAGGTGGCAAATGGCGCAAACACATTTTATCGCAATGGCAAATGACTGCTACAAGCTACACCACAACATCACCTGGACCTGCTTTCAGCTTTAGAATTCAGTCTGCTGTAGAAGGAAGAACGTGAGATTCTAACATATTCTTTACAATTTTTGGATCGGTTAAAAAATCCACGTTATTTAGTTTTTTTTTTTTTTGAATGTTTCAAAATTCAAATAAAAATATCCATCTAATTTCCAGGCAAGCCAAGCCACATATCCTGGTATCTGGCCAAGATGACGGAAAAGTCTATATTCTTTCACCGGAGACATGGAGCCCGTATATATGGGACTACAAAAGAGAAGTGGTAAGTCCATATATCTATCAAATACCAAATATCGCCTACGCAGATGAGTTTAGCAAGTTTATTTGACTTCAGGACAATCGAATATGTTATTTGCAATGCGCGTGATCAGAGTTCAGTAGTCCAAGTGATCTAACCATACCTAAAACCTCAATAATAATAAAAACTCAGAAGATCAAAAATCTTTCCTCAAAATATCTCCACTTTTACAATCTTAATTACACTGAAATCAATCTTATGAAAAAAGATAATTTTTTTTCACTATCTTGTTCCCTACGATGTAGTGCCAATTAAAGCTGGACAAATTAAGAGTAATTTGTTATATCAGACATAACAGTAGTATTGTAGAAGTTGCATATGTGTTGGATTAAATATCGGCTAGGAGGAAAGGGTGTGTATGCTTTCGTATCTAATAAGAAATTTGAACGCAATGTTTGTAAATTTTAATTTCAGATCTGGTCATCAGACAAGAGAATTGGAACTCCAGCAATAGCAGATGTTGACGGAAACGGAGAAGTGGAAATATTCATTCCATCAGATTTCAGCATAAACGTTATGAAATACAGTAAGATTAAAACGACTTATATATGAATATTGCTATCTCATTATTTAACCATCATTTTTTTTTTCATTTTCGAGAATGATTTTATTTAAATCATCAGAATAATTCAATTAATATCTTTCAAACATCAAGCTCGTTATAGTTGATTAAGTAATTTGAATTTCATGTGTACGATGTGAAGGATATGAAAAATATTTTCTACAAGAAATTTTTTAAAATTTAGATCTCTGGCGTTACTCGGCTAGATATTTTGACGTATTTATATTAAAATTTTGCTCTACAAAATTATTCAGTATTTGTAAAATTCAACAACCTAGAAAATGGAGTATGTTCGCATAGGCAAAGAATAGACAATCTACGGTTCATGGGCGCATTGCGGTGCGTCAAGGAATCTTGATCATCCCTCTTGGAAAAAGTTGTGAAATTTTCTTGCAACCTCATACAAAATTTCGATTTATTTTTAAAGTTTATTTAAAAAATCAGATCTATGATTTGTTGAAATTTTAGTAGCGTTTTTGATCTCAAGTTTAACAATATCATCCACCATTAAATTCGACGCTATCCTAGAGCTTGGGAACAGCAACTGTTACGTCACAGTCAATATTTCCTACAGCCTTTTGCAAAAATGATTCCTAAAAAAAACTTGCCCGTCCCTGTCCTAGGCAGTAGTTTATGTTATGTAATTTTAACACAATGTTTTTTTTTTTGTATTAGCTAATTCGTAAAAATAATATGGTATGTTTTTTTTTCTTTTTTCAATTTATCATTATTAATTTAAATTTTCAGTGAAATCTTCGGCATCACGGAAGACGGCACCAGTTCATATTATGCCAGTACTTGCGGCGATAGTCAACGCGATATTTAATATTATCACCTTTGGGAGAAGTTAAGAGGAGGCCAACTGGAATCAGTTGTTTGTTCGAAACAGAATCAGAATCATTGACAAACTATAAACGTTTAAACATAAGGCTGTAATGGTATGTTGCCTGTCTTCAATCATTCAATAAATTTGAAAGTATCTCCTAAAAAATTATTATCCCAATTCTGTTGCACCTCAATATTGAAATGACTTGGATAAAATAGTTGAAGATTCTTTTTATTATTACACGTATACATTTGCTAAAACTTGTCTCAGTTGAAACCGAGTACTATAACAATTGCAAATTTTAGTAATTGATTCAATCAAGATTTATTAAGGAGTTTCGTTTCAATGGAACAATTGGAGTTTCTATTCTAATTACTAATTTCTATATATTTTTTCTGTGCCTTTCACTGTCTTTCCAAATCAATATTTTTCAATGAAAACAATTGATTACTCCCATTTTGTATAAAAAATCTCTCAATAAATTCTCTCAAAATACATACATTGTCTTTTTACTATATAAACTAGGTATTTGTAACATTTAATACATGAGGTCCAGATACAAATAAAAGGGTGAAACCGCGGGCCGCACACCATTCAAAATTGGCACTTCTCGACTCACGAATTTTTATTGTTGGGCGCATTTTGCCCGCGGGGCCGCAGGTTGCGCACCCCTGATATAGGCCAATGTGACATCATCATTAAGTAACTGCATAATTATGATATTTAAAGGTAATAATACTCACAAAACATAATTATACAAAAGTTTATATTTTACGCCAAAAGTGCTAACATTTTTTAACATCATGTTTTATCACTACGATGTTGTCTATTTTCTTTACATTTTTGTATGAATGTAAAATCATTTCATAGTGAGTGACAATGTTTGTGACGAAATTGCATGAAACAAAATGTTCTGCCTTACTGTTCCGATGCGACAAATTCTTTTATAGGTTAAAAAAATTCAATTTATTAGAGAAATTCGGAACCAGAAAAAGTATCATTGATGTAGTAATCTAGGCAGCAAATGCAATCAGATAAAAATTTACCCCAGCGTTCTGAGATTTAAGCTGGGTTTAAAAACTTCAAGATAATTTGCAAGCTGTTATTTATTATAACTGAGATCAAATTTAAAATGTTTCATCAATCTCCTTTTTGTTGCGTTGTATTCAAGTAGTTTGACATTGTTAGGGCAAAATTAAAGATTTCAAATCGTTCTGACTGCATTTATTCGCTTGAAAATGTCCAATTTATAAGCCACGTAATTTGAGAATTGTAAGATCTCAAGAAAAAGTATTTTAAGTACACAACTTAATGTTATACGTGATTAGATAACTTAATGCTCATGATAAAACAATAATATTCTGAAATGGCATTGAAGAAGAATTTTGGTCTGCGGTGACCGTGACATTACTGTTCGAAATATAATTATGGAAGAAATTGGTAGAAATAATAGTTAAATAACTCTAAATATATTTAAACTTTATCTCCGTATTACACAGGTTACATAATCAAAATCGTTAGTTAACTTTATGGCGTGAGGAACATTTTCATTTCATCAACTATATGTCAACGTGAATCCCCTCAAATTCAGCTGTGAAATTATCACTCAATAAAAGTATACAAAAAAGTTTATTATACTCATTACGCAGATATAAAATTAATATTCAGTTAGGGGGTAAAAGTTTTAGATTCACGACTAATAGCGTGGGGGAGACATGGAAGTACCCACGGAAAAGGATCAGAAAGTTTGGAAATTTATGAAATTGGTATAGCAGTTCATGTATAAGGTTCAGCGAGTCTGTAACCTTATCAAACCAAGCGTGGAAAAATACAAAAGAATATTAGTTTTCGAAATTGAAAGGGGAAGTAAGTTCATGCCACACCGTACGTGACTGACTACATATATTGTAAAATTACTATAAAATAAAAACATTCGAATGCCCAGGCTTTAATTATCACGTCACAATACCGGGGATTTTTTACTTAAATAGCGTAGGTGTACGGGTTAATGATTATTGCATGTTCAATATTAATACACTCGCTCGCAGTGATATAAATGTGATTTACGCCCACGGAATATTGTAAATTTTATATATTTAACAGTAAGTGCCGAGTAAAACCCAATTATTGATGTTTGCTTTGGCCTATGTAGACGATGGATGAATAGTATGGGACGATTATATTACGCGCGTTTCATCTACGGCATAAGCTTGGTGGTGGAAAGTCCCACACTTGAGAATTTCAATCCCCATTTCAGCTTTCAAATTTCAATGTGCATTAGGTCTCTGAATGAACGTTTTGGTTTAGTTTTTTCTTTCTAATTTTTTAATATTGGCATTTACCGGAGAACGAAAACGATACCTCTGTATCCCTAGTCAATTTCCCTAATTTGATACAAAGTGTCCAGGGGGATCTAAGGGGTATAAGGGTATATATAACGCCCAATTCAAGATGATCCCTGTCAATATCTTCGAGCAAGTAATCTGGACTAGAGAAAAGTGATTACTAAATAAAATCAATAAATCGTCGATTTGTGGAAGTGATGGATCAAAAAATACGCATCTTAACGTTATTTCTATTACTGGCACTGGTGACTCTATCTTCAGGAAGATTCAGAGTCCGTAAAGAGTTCAAAGGATTGTCATGCAGGCAACTTAAAAAGCCCGTGAAAGTTTTGGACGGTTTTGCACCGTTTTCTCTTTTCACGGTAGAATGCAAGAAAAATGTGACGCCCAGTAGATTCCGCTTTGCAATATGCGGCAAGAAATGCCAAGATCCATTAAAAACCGGTATCATATCAAAAAATAACACCAGGTTATATCGACAAAAAGCAGTTGATTTTCGCATGGAATTTGAGACCTTGAGAAAAGGGAAGAACGAAACAATCGAAAAGGATGTACCAATCTCTTGTCGTTGCGTGGCAAATAGTAAGAAGAAAAGAAAGTCGGATAAGAAGAAATTATAAAACATGAATCCTTCTACATTTTCTACATAATATTTAACTTTCATATATATATTTTATTTACGTTATATGCTTTATGAATTTTACATCAGTCATGGAATATCACCAACCATGATTTTCTTTCAAGCTTCATAAAATACTATATGCGGGTTTATTTTTAAAAAAATGCCAAGTTGCACGCATGTTTTTTTTTATAAAATCCGGTTTGTAATTTAACTCGGGTAAGGAGGCCAATCAAAAATTTGGCAACTTCATGAAGTAACTGCTGCCTATCTTAACGTCGTTACCTAATAAAAAAAAATTAAAATCGAAAGAAGTCAGAGGGAAGTATTGCAATATTTATATGAATAGCACTTTATTTCTATTTTATTATATTACATGCTACAAGGCAATATTTAGATTTAAAATTGTTACTAACCATTCAAATATATATACATATTCGATTACCTTAACGCCAGTTATATATTGCAATACCATCGGTACTATACCTTTTTAAGGTAATTTTTAATATTTTGCTGTGTATTTTTTTTTGTTTTTATTACTTTTCACAATTGAAGTTTTTCATTTTTGAATAGGCAATAAACGATGCAATAGAAAACTAAAATTTTTGATATGCCAGGTGTTTCCACGAAAATTCTGTTAGTGTCCTAGCGCGGTGTATGAAATATTGATATACTGCACAGCAGACGATCGTTCTTAAACTAACATTAAACTTTGTCATACATATCTCATGAATAGTTAGTTAAAAAACACTCAAAATCATAGAAACGACGCAGTAATGAATCCTACATTGAATACAAATCAAAAGTTAAATCTCGAGTCTCCTTCTCTGCAGAAGTGACTAACATCGTCCAATGTCGGTGGTTGGCTTTGAAGACTATGTCAAATTCGGCAGTTCGACCACTAGGAGTTTTTAGCAAAGGATACTTAATGTTTGGAAAATCCACTGGACTAAAAAACCCACTGATTGTTGCATCCGGTTCATCACTTGCAAGCTCGTCGTCGAGTTCAAAATGATCATCTTCAGACTCAACCAGTCTCTATTTATATCCATGATCTTTCTTGATCTTCAAATCTGGTCGATATGTCTTTCTAAAATAACATTATGAGCGACCTTTACAGATAAGTCAGTTAGCCTAATATTCCTGTTATTTCACCAATTTTCCATTTCAAGTTTAACGTGGTTATCTATGGTGGCCCATCGTTGTCACGCGTAAAATTTGAAAAAAATGAAAAAATAAAATGGAAAAGCGAAAATAAACAAATAGTTGTGAAAAAACATAAAAATAATTGAAAAAAAAGAAAAAAAAAAAAATTAAAAAAAAAAATTGAATAAAAATTTAATAAAAAGGTTGACAACGATGGTCCGCCTCGTGGCCCATCGTTGTCACGCGTTTTTATTTTTAGAAAATTTGATGCTGTTTGGGACCAACGTTGTCAGGCTTAATCCTACACGCACAAATGTAATTCTTGGGTTTCTAACTCACTACTGATTTTCATGAGCAATATCCAATAAATTCAAAACGAAAATGTTCTATAAATTCTCCATGCTACAAGTTCAACCACAAGCAATATATTTATAATAATGAAAAGAGAATATAGAATTGAATACGAAAATTCGGAAAATTTGTTTTTACGTGTAGAAGGTAATTTAATTGGAAAATGCTGCTTAACTGCTCAGTTGCCTGGACACTCGTGCGATGCCGGTACAGTACCGTCTGACCGTACCGGTACCCATGCAATCACTCATGAAAGATTGGGAAATACGGATAGTCTCGTAGAATATAGGCTACTGAAACACTCTCTGCGCCTGCCCCATATCGTACAGCCGTAACGTACCGATCCAGACAAATGATGAATCGCCCGTGCTCAACCATTATTTCAATCCATACCTCGACTCACTATATTCTACTAGGATCGAGGTGTGGATTGAAATAAATGGTTGTGCACGGGTTATTTATCATTTGTCTGGATCGGTCAGACGCAAAGCGACTATAACCGACTATCGGTATTTGGTAAGACGGTACGGTACCGGCATCGCGAGTGTCCAGACAACTGAGTAGTTAAGCAGCATTCTCCAATTAAATTACCTTCTACACGTAAAAACAAATTTGGGGCTCCCGAAGTATGCGAACCAAGATGGCGGACATCGGAATGTAGAATGTGTACTAGGTTAGGGTTAGGCCATAATTTTAGGTATAAATACTACGGGAGGCTCTTGGCTAGTCTTCGAACTGGTAATAGGTCTAAAATAAGGAAAATTGGAAAAAAATTATCGCCTAACCCTAACCTGTTACGTTCCGATGTCCGCCATCTTGGTTCGCATACTTCGGGAGCACCACAAATTTTCCGTATTTTCGTATTCAATTCTATATTCTCTTATCATTATTATAAATATATTACTTCTTGTTGAACTTGTAGCATGGAGAATTTATAGAACATTTTTATATTGAATATTGCTCAAGAAAATCAGTAGTGAGTTGGAAACCCAGGGAACACATTTGTGCGCGCAGAATTATGCCTGACAACGTTGGTCCCAAGCAGAAGCAAATTTTCTGAAAATAAAAACGCGTGACAACGATGGGCCACGAGGCGGACCATCGTTGTCAACCTTTTTATTGGACACGTTTATTTTCTTTTTATTCAATTTTTATTATTATTATTTTTTTAATATTTTTTATGTTTTTTCACAACAATTTTTTTTTATTTTCGGTTTTTTATTTTATTTTTAATTTTTATTTTCAATTTTACGCGTGATAACGATGGGCCACCATAGTTATCCCTAACGAAAACTGTTTGACGAAGCTGAATGAACATTTGGGTTTGTTGATCTTATTCCGCACTGCACCTTTCTTTAACACAATTATGAACGTTGGGATTTAGTCCAAAATAGTACGGTGACATAATAATATTAACATTGCTTCACCTATCTTTGAATGAGGAGTATTTCGATACCCAGAAAAAAATTATCGAAATGTAAGTTGAATTTGTTGGTACCCATAACTGAGCGTATATCGCGCTTGAACGTTTGCATAACTCGTTCGGCAGCACCGTTGTTGGATGCCACATGATAGGGTGCAAATTTATTATGCATTAAAAACATCGTCATCATTTTTATTTTTTTTTAAATTTCTGAACTCAGGTTGTGTACCAGGTTAGGGTTCAGGTTATGCGACATCTTGGTGCGCATACTTCAGGAGTACCGAAACCTTTTTATACTATAAAAATAAAGCAGTGACACATCTCTTGAATACAGAAGTGTGATTTCTTCAGATGTTATGAAGTAAGCATTTTCGAATTGGCTCTCTCAGAGGCATAATTTCCTTACGAATGCGAGTATATACAATCTTCCACCCCTGAAAATTTCAAAGCAATTGGTTCAGTAATTAAAGAAGAAAGAGATATTTTCATAATGATAGGAGGAAGAATAATTAACGAAGAACAACATAATGAACAAAACGATCTATAGGTACACTCCTTGTTCAATACCTCGCTCCTCGAGCGTATATCATAAAATAGCATCGCGGGCCAAATTATTTTACTCCACGGGCGAATATGGCCCGCGGGCCATAGGTTGCCGATACCTGATCTAGCTATTTAAAAATTTAACCACTAATGATATTTAACAGTAATGAAGTTACGACGAAATACTACTTAAACATTAAACTACTGACGATTTTAACAGTACGTACCCTATGCGTTGCGAGGCCTCGGAAACAAAATCGCCCAACTGTCGAATTAATATTTTCTTCAAAAGTAACTTAATACCTGGTATAGTAAGATGGGGCCTAATGGAATGCGATCAGCCAAATAATATTTGTCTTCATTTTAGTTAGAATCAGTCTTATGTAGGGTTTCCAACCATCCTTCATTGGACAAGAAGTTTCACTATGGTGCGTTTTGTTAATATAATGTTATTGTTCTCCTTGTTGGTATTTTTCTTCTTGTTGTTACCGTATGAAAAATCGCTTTCAAATTTTCAGTAGCTAAAGATTGTATTTAAGATTGTATCTCTTGCTACACGAAAGTCGGTTTTCACGAAAGTTTTTCAACAGTACTGGTAAGGTAGACTACTGATTCGCCTTAGTCTTCGTGTCTATATATTTGATCATCACTATCTTGTTTCAAAGAACAGTTCTTTAATCGAGCCTTTCTGTCCTTTATTGAAGTTGAAAAGGGCGCTAATTGTCCTCTATTTGCATTGCTTTTACTATAAAAACATATAAAAGGAAATAATGTAATAAATGAATACTGTCAGCGTACACTAAACAATAACCTGACTGTCGTTTGATACAAACTTGTTTAATTAAGTACTGGACTAGTTTCGATTGCTGTTGACATGGAGGTCCGGTGGAACGGCTCAAAGGTTGTTCAAGTTGAGTTGAGATGTTGGCAGTGACGAGATAGGAATGTGCGTTCTCACCGTGTTGTTTTATTATATTAACTAACTTAAAAGATAAGCTAAAATACTTATATACCAGTGTTTCTCAAGCTTCTTGTAGTTTGCGGACACCTTTTCGCTTGCGAAAGTATAGTCACGATCACGACCTACGCGCTAACTGTAGTGAGTTGTAATTCTGAATTAGAGACAGGTGTGATGCAAAAAGGCACACTCAACAAAGCTCCCGGCTGAATTTCCTTGGCACTAGTTTATCCCAAAATCCACCCTGCCATCTTCAAAGCGCCGGACCTCTTTTATCATGCGAGGCTTTGTTTTGCTTAGCAATTTGTAAGCCCGACCTAAAACAGTGCTTTGCTGTGAAAAATATCCTTTTGCATACAGATTCATAAGTTTTTTCGAATGTTGTGGATGTTTCTGCTGGTAACGCTGAAAATACTTTACGAACCCACGGTTGGGAAACAATGTAGCTCGCACAATTGATGACTTTAGATCGTTTTGCACTTCAACAATAACATAATTGGAAAAGAATTCGATTTTGATGAAAATTCAAAATTTTCTAAGATCATCAAATCTAAGTCTTACAGATAATTCACTTCCAAAATACCAAAAATTTTGAAGTTTAAATATAGTAAGGTGAGGAAACCTTAGTAAATCACTAGAAAGATGATAAGTCTAAATGCCTGTAATAATACTTTCGTAGCATTGCGAAATTTATCTGTGTGTTCTCGAGGAACGCAAAGCACACAACTTCCGTCAGCTATTTCAACATTTTCGCTTCTCATTCCAAGATAAACAAAGCAAGGTTTGACAGAGTTACCACTTCGACGCCGAGTCGATTTTCGAGCGAATTATTGAAGGCGATGCTAATAGGATTACCAAATTGAATAATGAAATCGAATGAAGATTCGAAAACTACAGTGTACAAATCATACTGCGCATTGAGCATGTCTCGTGCTATAAATCGACGACTCTATATATATTTGTTCACAGAAAACAACAAACTCGGACTACAAACCAATAACACTATCATGCATTCTTTACTCACGTACTAGCAATTATAAAGTTAAGTGCAGTCGGGCATCATACTCAAGCCAAGCTTAACCCTGAGGATAAAGTCATTATTAAAACATGCCCGGGTTTAAATTACCAGTGGCAGTATATTATAATTTTTAGATAAATCCCACCCCTTGAAAATGAAGAAAAGGAATAACGTACTTAAACTTTAAATACCGTAATCAAAGGGGAATGATTGCTATGACCTAACCATAGGCCAATCAAACTCTGCACCGTGCAACAATGTTTGTTGTCATTTGTAAAATTCGCATTCGCATGATGGATTATACCGCAAAACATCTCTAGACGCATGATATCGCCGATCCAAGGGATCGACCCTGTGTAACCCGAGTAAATACTCAATTCTTTCTTCAACCGTTTTCTAATTTTATTACAGTTAATTAGTTAGGTGATATCGCTAATCAGTTTGGGCGGGAATATGGAAAAGCGCGTCCCTTTCCCAACCAGTCACTGGAGTGCGTGATGACGAACGGTTTGTCTGTTTTGCAGAACACTGGGCTATTCGGCATAGTCGTTGATTCTTTCGACGCACGCAATATTAAGGTAGGCAGATGTTTTTTGGTAAATAAAATAGATAAACTAAGCCGATGCTATAATTTTGCTATTCTTGGTATTATGTATTATAAGTGGCAAATTATAAAACTCAAGGGATTCTGGTCGATCATGATTTTAGCGGTCGATGATTGCGGAGTTAAACAACATATTAATCAAAAAGGTTGAAGCGTGCACCTTCCGAGATAAAATGACAATCTTATATTAAATCAAATTTAAAACTCAACTTTGCTAAAGTTTGATTCCCAGATGAGACGAAATTTTCAAAATATTCAGATGAGCATACAAAGTTAAACGAAAAATATGGCGGGCTTGTTTAGCCGAATAAGTGAGACTCTTTTTTTTTCATTTTGCTCCATATTTATTGTTTTCAAACCCACGTTTTACTAACGTACCGCTTCAATGGGTTGAAATCGTGATATGTGTCGATATCAGTATATAGGTCCCATTCACCTATACGCGCAATTGCGACCAACAATGTGTCAAAAAGTATTTTTATTATTCTTGGTACTACTATCACATTAGCAACACCCATTTCATAGCATCCAATTTTTGGCGTAAAGTTGCTTACGTTTGATTGTACAAAATGATAGGCATACGCGAAACCTTTTATATAAAACATATTACGTATTTTGATAAATCAAAATTTTATTTATTATATTTATTTATTATCAAATATATATTTTTATTTGTCAAGTATTCATATTTAGATATACTGCATGGTTTAACAATTGTGTGGATTATTGCTGCACAAAGAAATATCGACCATAGACTGGAGAAAATACATTTGCAAACATGCGAAGATAGTCGACACACAGAGGTAGATATTGAACGCTAATATTATATAATGGGTAATCTACGCCTTATATGGCCACTGAAGTATCATATAATCTCTGGTCTGGTGCCTAGAGAAAACTCGCCAAAACATTTTAAATTAGCAATATTTGCTATGTAAAAAACTGTTTCCTAAGAAAGTAAAGCAAGTTTTAAAAAAAAATTTCCTCTGAAATATACTTAAGATAAATCTAATAGGTGTATATTCACCACCAATCAGTAAATAAGTGTATTTTCATATTTTTCTCGGACGTGTTTATTATTTGTAGTGGAAAAAATAATTTTCAGAAAAATATTAAATACCTGATTAAACAAGGAATCATCGATGCTGCAAACCTTCGTGATAATAGGGTACATTATGTTGCTGCCCAGAATCCAAATTTGAAAAAAAAAATCGAGAAGACTCAAAAATATGTTCAAATAAAGTGCTAAATATTTGCGTGGCCTGTATTTAGTTATCTTAGATCGTACTTTTGAAAATTGATTTGATTCGTTCTTGTACAGTGTAAACTATTACTGGAGTGTATATCAACGATTCGACAAGCAGTTCGGCAAAAACTAAATTAATTACATCACTGAGATCAAGAAATTTTAAGATATAATTATCATATTCCAATGAGTTCGTTTAATATATAGCATGGTTTTGCATTTGTGATGACACTTCAGATGATTTAATCAAAAGTTAAACTGAGCTATGACTTGAAGATTTGTCTCACTGTTAATTTGTCGAATATGTTTTGTTTGGCCTTTGAGTTGATTTTTCGAAATTCACTAGACTTTACGGAAGTAAATTGCCCTCGCCGTAGTACTTGAATGCATCTAATAATTTAATAATATTCACTCTGCCATTTATTCATTTTGGTTGAAAGCTGCTGGAATGTCAAATCTCAATGTTTAATCTTAAAGATTGATTGTGGGAACAAGGTGAAAGTCACCTCACCATTGTGAAATTATGTGAAAAGTGTTTTACTATTTCCATAAAAATTGCATATTTACAATGTTTTCTAAAAAGCGCGCCGAGACGATTCTTCAACGGATTTTTGTGAAAACATTCTCGAGGTATTTATTTCCCAAGAATTCAATTCATACAAGTAAATATTTATCAATATTGCAATGGTACATTGGATTTTCTTACCCAATTGGCCTTCTCACAGAGACTATAGTCAATAGGTATTGCAATTTAAAAAAAATTCAGATAAACATATAAATGGAATTGAAACTGATTGAATTTTTCTTGGGACAAGACAGATTTGAAAAAGAAAACAAAGTAAGCGGTTATAAAGAACAAATATTCTACTAGGCTTCTACATTTAAGTTCTATGTTTTTGACTCGTGCAAAACAATCCAAATAGATTTACCCGATAATGCTGAAACAGATAAAACAAACTAACCTTCCGTATCTTACACTTCACTTCTATTTCTTCAACTTACAGGCAGGATCACTACATGCGATGGATGACGAGCCTGTGACAATGTCAGTGCAGAGAAAAGCGTTATAAGCCCAGTTTTGGTTCTTTTGAAATATTTGATGATATAATTACGCCTTTGTTAACAACATTTTGTTTAGCGTAATGTTTTTCAATTTTATGCTTCTTACGAATTCTGGTTTTGACAACCGGTGTTGCAGAGTCAACACATAACCGATTTGTACCAAGTTCATTGTACAGAAGAGAACTGGGTAATAATGATATCATTCAACTTTATGGTTTTTTCAATTTTACTGCTTTATGATTAACATAACTGAGCCTATCGGCAAGTTCAATAGGAGTTTATTTGTGTTTTAAATCATGTGCCGGACGTGCATATACCGTGTGAAACTGCGCTGTATTTTTTATTTATTTATTTTGCTGCCTTGTTTCGTTTATTTTGTTTTTTTATTTGCCTTTTTGTCATTTTTCTGGTGTTCAGCGTTGGTAGTCAGCAAGAGATGCAGCGGGATAAGTCGTTATGCAGATATTAAAAGCAGCATCAGATCGGAGGTAAAGTTATGTATTGTACGGGTCAGATCGAAAGATACTCGGGGCAAGGTGCCATTATTTTCGAAACGACTCCTATTAGGGCAATTATTAAAATATTTGTTTAATCTAAGAAAGCGACCCAAAAACTTCGACCTGATGGACTTTATTTCATGACCCAACTGTAATGTATTTTTGTACATTATATGTATTCAGTGGAAAATTTAATTTTTGACGTTTAACTCCAAATACCTTTGGGACTCCTTGATTCCAGTGTTCAACTCTCAAAAATCAAACTTTTGTATATTGGGAAATTCTAATAATGACTCCAACAACAATTTGAGAACTGACTTAAAAGTAAGTTTTTCAATATTGCTACAGGTCTTCAGACTTAAAGTTTTACAAAAAATTCTTAGAACTCTTATCGATATCAGTGTAAGTACCATTACTTTCGTCTCGTAATTGTAAGAAATTTACATTGTTAAGCTTCAGTGATGCCCGCAACACTGTACATAATAAAACAATTGCCCTATCTGACAGGCAGTTCCCCCACAATTGCCCAATTCGCAGCCAGTGCCCATACCCTCCAGCACTTTGGAAACCGCAGGTCTATCTTGTTCAGGTCCTGATCATGCTCTTTTTTAGAGGCCCTAAGCTTGGTGACTTGTGACCTTGGTGCTTTTCGTATAATAATTTATAGGACATGGTACTATTACCCAGCATCAAATCCATAAAAAGGAAGCACTTGAAGCAAATTCGAGAACGTGAAATATTAATGTTAGGCAACTCATGCAAGTTATTCTTTCCACAAAAGTTTCTGCTTTAACAGAACATTGCACCAAATCGCACGAGAATAATACGAAAACAGATTGTATGTAATATCAGTGGCGGCGCGTCAATAGGGCCAACCGGGGCAATGCCCCGGTTGTTTTTTCGGTATAATAAAAAATATTCGAAAAATACCCCAATATCGGTTGCACAGACTGTCTACACTAGCCATATTCTCCCGACATGGTTCATTTTTCGCTCGCAAAGCCTTCGTCGACGGGGCGACGCCGATTTTGCCCCGGTTGCTCATTGTATATCGTATTCTCTCTTTTATCTTCCACTCGCCGCGTTTGTTTTCTGTTTCTTTTACTAAATCATCGGGTCCGATCGGGGCTAGCCCCGAAATTATGACGACACAATGCCGACGTTTCTTACAACAACGTGTTGACATATTCACGCATTCCTTCTCGTTCGTTGGTTGCTTGAAGAGTTGATAGTTTCCTCGCCTTCGTTTTTGTCGCTTGCTTCGCTAGTTGAATCAGTTAGAGACCTTTAGTCCATTTGCTTTCGATTTTCCACATTCCTTTTGAGCTCCACACTTCTTTCCGGCTTCGCATTTCTTAGCCTTAGACCTCATAATGAATGCGGTTGATGCACTACTTCGCACTCCGTTTTCGCAGCTGCCGCTGGAACAAAAATTAAGAGGTACAACGTCTTGGACCTTATCAACCAAAAGATTGTTCACTGGAACAATCTCATTACGGAGGAAAGCATCGGCGTACATTCTGCGCAGGAACTTGGTATAAAAAACGAATGGTTGTGTTACAGCGAGGACAAAAATGCACTTTTTTGTTTTTATTGCCTACTTTTTGCTGCCACCCGTGACTCACGTTGGTGTAAATTTGGTTTCAGAGATCTTAAACATCTTTCCCAGCGTGCCAAGGATCATCAATCTTCTATGGAGCATCTGGACAATGCAGTAAAATACCGAACATTCGGAAATGTTAATATTGCAGCACAGTTGGATGAAGGACGCGCGGTTTCTATTCGTCGGCACAACAAAAACGTCGAGAAAAACCGTCATGTTCTCGGTCGATTGATAGATGTTTTGAAGTTCATTGGTTGTCACGAGCTGTCCCTCCGTGGGCAAGATGAACGGGCTGGCTCTTCTAATAGAGGGGTATTTTTGGATATGGTGGAATACACCGCATCCCTAGATACAGTATTGAGAGATCATCTTGATGCCGCAACTGTTTCCATCTAAGGATATTCAAAATGATTTGCTCGACTCAATGTATAAAATTTATTTACAACATTTGGCTCTGGAAATTGAGAATTGCCAGTTCCTTTCGATTCAGTCTGACGAGACAACTGACATCACGTGCGTTTCCCAACTGGCTGTGATTTTTCGGTTTGTGAAAGATGGTAAACCCACCGAGAGATTTCACAGCTTTGTACCAATCGTTGATCGCACGGCTTGCGGGATATCGGCTGTACTGAAAGAAGTGTTACAGCCTTACAACGCGAAGTCAAAATTGATAGCTCAAACTTATGACGGCGCGGCAGTCATGAGTGGGTCGAAACATGGTGTTAAAGTTTATATAAAAGAAGATTCTCCTCATGCGCATTTTTTACATTGTTATGCACACCAATTTAACTTCGTTATTAAAAATATGTGTCTTGATACCCCTCTCGTCCGTATATTTTTTGCAAATGTTTCGGGGTTTTCTTCATTTTTTTCCGTTTCGCCGAGGCGCTCTGACCTCCTTCGCCAGATATGTAGCCGCCGTCTCCCTGAGCTCATTGAGTGTTTCAATGGCATTCAGAGCTCTCCGGTTTGGGACGAACGCTCTGTGAGGGAGGCGGCAGGTCTAAAGCGTCTGCTAGAAGATGGTGAGTTTTCATTTTTTCTCGCTTTTTTCTCCACAATATTCTATCACGTGGATGTATTATACGGCGCATTGCAGTCAAGGCTAATGGATGGAGCGTCTGTGCAGTCGTGTATTTCATCGTGACTTCTGCGATGCTGTATCTCGTATCCGGGAAACAATAAAATACCACGACACATGGAGTGCTTCTTTACGCCGCGGGCAAACAACGCAGCGTTTGATTTTGTCTGCAAAGGAATGCTGTGACATTCTGGTGAATCAAATAGGCGATCGTCTGCGCACTGAACACCTTGCCGCGTTCTCTTTGATGAACCCCAAAAATTTTTCAAAATTTGCACGTCAATTTTCCATCCATTTGTTGGCTACTGTCTCCAAATTTTACCCCATGATAAACGTGGGTAAATTGGAAAATGAATTGCGATGTATATACACCAATCAAACTTTTTTGAACATCACATCAACTTGCGCGCTCTATGGGTTCCTCATAGATAACACTCTAGTAACTACCTTGGCGGCGTCTGCAAAATTTCTGGACATCATTTTGACGACGCCTATTTCTTCCGCCGACGCAGAGCGAACATTCAGCACGCTGAAGCGTATTAAAACGTATCTCAGAAACACAATGAAGCAAGATAGATTAAATTCCTTGGCTGTTTTATCCATTCACAGAGACGTTATTTCTGGGATGCATGACTTTAATCAGCGCGTTATTGAGCATTTTGCTTCCAAGAAACCGCGGCGTGTTGCATATATGTTCAAGCAGTAGAAGTCTAGCAGCATATATATCTATGAGTGAGCGACGCATGTCCTTATCTTTGCATTAACTTTCCTTTCTTCATAGTAACGTTTTAAACCTTATTTTAGGTTTTGTCTGCTTTCCCGAAGTTTCTGTTAATATGTCATTGTATTTATCTGGGTAAATATTGCCTTTCCTTTTGAAAGAGGTTTCAAAATAAACTATGTCTATATTTATTAATCCCTTGACTTGGACCGGTTTTAAAGACACTTTCTTATCGTTAAAAATTGTCGCTTTTGCCGATTGGTTGTTACCGATGGAATGATTTTTATACTCATAAAATGATGGGAGAACTTACAGCGCTCATCCTGTCCCCGTAGATGGGGGTGACTTGGTCCCGCAGTAGCTTGCCCCGGTTGTCAAAATGATCACGCGCCGCCACTGTGTAATATGTTTTATATAAAAGGTTTCGCGTATGCCTATCATTTTGTACAATCAAACATAAGCAACTTTACGCCAAAAATTGGATGCTATTAAACGGGTGTTGCTAATGTGATAGTAGCACCAATAATAATAAAAATAGTTTTTGACACCTTGTTGGTCGCAATTGCGCGTATATGCGAATGGAACCAGAAGTGAAAACTTATACATGTACATGAAAAAGAAAACATGAACAATTAGAAAAACGTTGCAAAAAAAATACTTTCCTCTAATAAATCTCTATCATGAAGTCATAAATTCTCATATCTCTTCAAAAACACAAGCTCTACTATATGCTTGATTGTTGAGCTAGACTTCGATGTGGGATAAGTACGATTACGGTAATATATCCCACTACGACTCCGAGTTACAAATTAAATGAGGTCTTTACCCCAAATTAATGTCTTTTAATCCATGTATCAGCAACTGATATTACCGCAATATGAACACTGTATTAGTCCCACAGATGCCCATAACCGCAGCACAATACAATCTCGTGATCGCACGCTTCCGTTGAAAGAAACAATTCTGTTCACAGCTCACGAAGTGTAGATGCGTTGAAAATGATTACCAAATGCAAGCTTAGGTACAACTAGTGTTGATGTAAGTGTTAAAACCTATCCACATGTTTTAGCAGGATATTTCCGTGGTTGGGATTGGCGACTTAAACTACTCCTGGGATATGCTTGAATAGATTTTTTGTTCATGGCAAAGCATTATTTGCCGCTGCAATGTCAGGCGCAGATGCGATACCTGGCTAAAGAAGCAAGCAGGCCACATGTGTTTTTTTGGGACACGATTTGAACATTTATTCATTACAGGCCGTTTGTTCGTTCTGCAAGATCAGTGATCTGGTCTGTCATATTTGGTTTTACCAGAAATGTAATCGTTGAAATTTGTTTTATCAGAAGGCTATTATTAATTTATTTTAAAAATTTCTGTTCACTTTTAGGGGATTCGTTTTTATGTGCGACGAGTCGATGACGTCATGAACACTTCGGTACCGATATGCTACTGTGACTGACTGTATAGCGTACTTCTTTGTGCTTATAGATTTTGGCATCGTTTTCTTATTTATCATCTATATAATTGTTTTATATACTGTTTGATAAAAATTTCAGCGATGTTAAATTTAAACCTAATAAATCATGTATTTCATGTTTTCATAATCTATGAAATCACAAAACTGAGAGGTAACGAATATGAAATTAGGCTAGTAACGATGGGGACTAGATGTTCAATGAAGGTTTGCAAAACTAAAAATAACTGATAAATAGCTATAAGCTGTTCAAGTCCGCGCAACTGAAAATAGTTGCACCATGCACGACGGAACAATGCATTTCCAAATGATTAAATAAATATTACGATTATTATCTGTGTGGCGTACCGGAATTGGTATCACCACTCAGGTTCTTTCTGCCAGCTTCTTGGACACTGAAGTTGCAATAGATGTCTATCACAAAATAATCTTCTTGCGGTTCCAATTACAGCAGAGTAACTAAGTT